ACAAAAGTGTTGCTTCTGAAATTCCTTTCTGCTGAGTAGGAGCTGTACTCCTGTGCTCCTGAGACAGAGGAGGGAAGGTGAAACTCTGTCTGCTAAAGTCAGGTCCATCTTTTGATCACCATGGTCATGTGTAACACCACAGCTTGAGCTCTTTTTGCAATTGTTTTATTTCAGCATTTTGAAGCACATTTAATTAGGACACAAGTCACAAATCATATCACTAAAATTGGTGTTCAAATTTCAGTAATCCAGAGAATCTGAATTTACTGTTCTGAAGGATCCAAAAGGTCATTTGTATACCTGTCATTTATTCCTGGTGCTTCTAAGAATGCTTGTCCAATCCAGAAGAACTGTGTAGAGTCTCTTCGAGGTGTGTTTGTCATCAGTGAGGGCCAAGGAGATGGTGGCAAGGATCAAGCTCTTATTGCCTTTGGGACAATCTGAGCAGCAGCCCAAGGCATGCAATGTGCTCCAGTGTTAGTTGAAGGCTGTGGCTTAATGACTTCAGTCTGGTGTAATACAGAGCAAACTGGCCTGGGGCCAATGAACTCAGTCCTGATCAGGATGTGCTTTTACCTCAGACATGCAGAAGGGCAAGCAGCCTGTAAGCCACAGCAATCTTACTAAACCTGTATTGGTAGCATTTGGGAAATAATGAAAAGTCACTCAGATTCAGGTTTTTGTAATCCACTGCAGGTCCATAGGATGAAAAGTGTGAAGCTTCCACATTTGTGTATGTCTTCAAAATGAAAAAAGGATGGTATATGAAAACTAATCACTTCTATACATATTCATGTAAGCTGTTTTTTAAAACAAAGAATGTACTATACCTCAACTATATAATTCTCATTAGATTATGCAGTCAAATATATATACTGCACAGTAGCACTCCAAAAAGTTTTGTATTTTTATAATGCAAATGAAGAATTGTAGACATATACTCCCAACTTCTGTTCTTTGCTAGAGAATATATGGAAGGTTGCTAGTCCCTCCATGAGTGCAATAAATAGTACATAATCCATAAATCCCACTCCTTTACAAGGTATTATTGATGACAAGACTAGGCAAAAGTAAGGATAAAAGCAAAATTTCATTCTGGTTAGCAATTTATTAATAGTGCTTATCATAGTGTTCAGAAAATCATACAGATTTTTCTAAGACTTAATTTCAGAAGAAAATAAAGGATCATAATTAATGATACTTTCATTTTTCCAAACATGACTATATGTTTGTCATTCTCTTACAAAGTATATTTCACCAGTTAGCTCTATTTAGAAAAATCCATTACATAATTCCCTGAAATATTGAAATGGCAAAAACAATTCCCCCATAGTCCAACACATGGATAAAAATAGTAATCTACCATTCAAAACAGAGATGTGCCAAGTGCAAGAGAAGGAAAAAAAAAAAAAACAGTATCCACACCACCAAAGGTGTTGGAGTGATTGAGCACTGGTGATAGTGGAGGTGGGTGGGCTGCAGAGTGAGATCTGTGTAAATCCCCAAGAACTTTCTTGCGCAGGTGAAATACCAAGAGAAAGATTTCATAACTGAATTTTAAATCATGATTTTGTTTTGTAACTGCTCCCATTAATCCCTACAATGCAGTGGGTACCTTTCTTCAGTCCCATTTCCTATTCAGTGGTTGCAAGGATTAGAAACAAAGTCATTTCAGACTGAGAATGAGTGAAGGTCACTCTGAAGGTAGGTGGCTGGGCTTCCTATGTTCAGACAAGGACTATCATTACCCTCCACCCTTTCTTGATTCTGAGGTGAAGTCTGTTGTATACAGGGCAGGGCATGATCTGGAGACTGTTCAAGTAAAAAGACACTTCCTTCGCTGTGGCATACCCCTGAAGGAGGCAGAGACTTTGAATTCCCAGAAGCTAAAATAGATACTTTTGGAGTAAAGAGATGCTGGAGGTCATAAACCAACTTGTAGGTGACAGGAGGGCCCCTTATATGTACTTGGATGCAAAGCTAGGAGTGTGACCTAGTGGAAGTGCCAGGTGGCCCAGCAGAAAAGGGTTCAAGCTGAGTTCTCATGGTAGTTGCCTGTCTTCTGAATAACCTCCAGGTCCAATGTGGGTGGGCCACCTGATTACCATGTCCCTTAGGTTCCCCTCTCTGAAGAATGGAAACAAGCAGTCCCATCACCAATAAAGCCAGGTAGCAGAGGATCACTCAACCTTGCTTGTCCCTATGCCTCCTCTTTACAACAGACACACCAAAGACCAATGTGACACAAAATTTTGCAATTGTAGTTACTTGCAGTCAGGTGAGGAAATTGGCCCAAAGGCTCTGAGACATAAGCCCTCTGCCATATTAGAGCAAAGGCACATGGACTACTGTAACATGAGGGCACCCAGCTTCCCAACTCCCAGCCAGCATCTGAGGGTTCTAGGGATCCAACCACTAGAGTCTAGGGGCCTTTGTGTGGCAGCTCAAAGTTCCTTGATTCCACTTTAGCAGTCTTGGCATATCAGGTGATGACTGCACTGCCATGTGAGAGCAATGGTCAGAAAGGTCTCTGCCATTTTCCCCAGGAGCTTGGTAGGGCTACAAGGGCAGGCCTTAGTCAGGCTACTCTGTGACAGTGTCCACCTTTTCTGGGGGCTCCTGTGGCTCATCCTGGCTCTCTTGCTTCCTTGTGGCTCTAGTGGCTCTGCACCCCACATCAAGGCACACTGCAATCTGAGTTGGTGTCACAAGGTGCCCAGGCTCTGAAGGCCCCAGGAAAGGGAATACTGTTCCCAATCACAACACTGGTCCTAATAGTCGTGGCCCAGCTTGGGATAAAAGCGTGTTGCCAGGTTGTGGAATTCCCTGCATCCATAGGGCATGTGGTATCCTGGCTCACCCACTGCAGAATCCTGGGCTTCTGGCACACAGTAGGGACAAGACTGCTCTATTGCATGGCCTCACATAAGGTCAGAAGTCACCAACTTTTGAGCTTTTATTCTCTTCTGAGAATACCTCTTGGGTCTTCCTTACCTCATAATAGAAATCTGGAGAGCGGTGCCTAGATCTTAGTAGTTAATTATTTTCCAATTGGGAACTAATAATTTCAACAGAAAATTCTATCGTACTTGATGAAATTCTCTGAAGTTAAACTCTATTTCTGATTGGTCTAGAGCATGAAAAGGAAAAGTACTACTGGCAAGAAAAGATGCTTTAGCTGATTTTCGTTTGTGGAAAGTATATTTTACCACATATAAGGCTAATAGAGCAGATTAGAATCCTGTTCAGCCAGCAGAGACATGGCTGGGGGAGAATGCCTACAGAAAGCCTAGGGAGATGAAAAAGAATGAGAGGATGGAATACCCTTTTTCAGTGCTCTCTCTATCTGTCTTTCTCTTTCTCATTTGAGTCAGTATTAATTTGTGTTGCGTGCATTCCATGTACCATCCTACTCATTGTCACACGTGAGTTCATAGTGCTGTGCAGCTATGATCATCACCTTCCATCTCCACAGCCCTCTTCGTGTTTCCAACAGGAACCGCTTTCTTCTTTAAACTGTGACACCCCTCTCCCCTGCCACTGTCTCTGGTTGCCACTATTGTACATTTTCTCTGAGAATTTGACTCCCCTGGTGCCTCATGTAAGGGGAGCCATGCTGTGGTTTTCTTTATGTGATTGGCATGTTTCCTTAACATGACATCTTTAAAGTTCATCCATGTTGCCCACATGGCAGAATAAAGAAGTAGGGACTCTTGGAAGAGATTCTGAAAATTCAGCTTGGTTACACTTCAGGCACATTCTGCTCTGCTCCTGCTTGATGCCCACATGGCCCTTAAATGGCACAGCAGGGACTTGGCTCTTACCCTTCTAGCCTCAATTCCCTTTCTTCTCACACCCTTCCTAAGAATGCACTGGAGTAAAGGAGTCTTTCTCATGACAGTTTTGACTGAAGCTAATGCTTCCAGATGAAGACAGTCCAATAAAATATGTCTTTCTGCTGACCTTATGAACCCTGACTCTTCCTGTCCATTCATGTCTGAATACTCTGTCATTCACTCTGTATTGAAACATTCTCAGGGTGCCTAAAAAATAAACTAACCCAGGCCACTCTTGACTTTGGAGAAGCAACAAATGAGACACGTTCCCAGTATTTCAAAAATCTAAGTGAAGCACACAAACTTACAAAGGCCATTTTAAGGCCAAAATATTATGAAGAATTAAAAGCCAATTTCATGTACCAGAGGTGCAAAACCTATGAACAATAATTTGCAAACTGAATACAGAAATACATTGGGACCTCTGAGAATTAATTCCATGAAGACAACACTGGTTAGCATTTGATAATCAGTTAATATAATTATCCCACTAACAGAACAGAGAAATAAAATGTTGCTCTCAGTAGATACAGAGAAACTTTTTGAAAGTTCACTCATTTCATTACTAAAACAAAATGTTAACAAATTAGCACATTTTCTTTTAATGTATAAGAGACCTCCAATTAATATTATCCTTTAGTGAAATACTGCAAATATTCTATTGTGCTGATTGAAACAGAAAAAAGATATTTGCTATTGTTTCTATTCAATATTTTATACACAATTTGTCCAGGAGATAAAGGAAGAAAGGAATGTTAAACGATCAAAAATGGCTTTTTTTCTGCTTGTAGAAGACTCAGTTCTTCCAAAAGAATTTTGAAATAGAAAAAGTGATTTTGTAGATCCTAAACAAATAGCCAACATCTAATTAGGGACATTGAGATCCTACGATCATGATTTTAATAGGCAGCTGATTTGAATAGAACTTAAGTGGGAGTGGTTTTTGTTGTTGTGTTCTTTTATGTTTTGGTGGTACTTGGGTTTCAACTGTGAGCCTCACACTTGCTAGGCAGGTGCTCTACTACTTGAGCCACCCTTCCAACCCTGAACAGAATTTAAAAAGAATACCTGAAGGGAGGAGGGAACACTAAGGAAAATGGAGGCAAGAAACAAATGGTGCTTATCGAACCACCTTCCACTGTGGTTGATATCTCAACTGTGAAGCAAGTCTCAGTCCAATTAAAAGAATATCACATGGATATATTCATATAAACTTGAATTTATGGTGTGTCTCCGCGACCATGGCGGTGGCGCTACTTCTCATTTACAAGGTTCCCTAGGCCTCTGCCCAAAGAAAGAAGGAGATGGTGCTATCTGAGAAAGTTAGTCAGCTAATGGAGTGGACCAATAAAAGACCTGTAATAAGAATGAATGGAGACAAGTTCCGTCGTCTTGTTAAAGCCCCACCGAGAAATTACTCTGTTATTGTCATGTTCACTGCTCTCCAACTTCACAGACAGTGTGTTGTTTGCAAGCAAGCTGATGAGGAATTCCAGATCCTGGCAAACTCTTGGCGATACTCCAGTGCATTTATCAACAGGATATTTTTTGCCATGGTGGATTTTGATGAAGGTTCTGATGTATTTCAAATGCTAAACATGAATTCAGCTCCAACTTTCATCAACTTTCCTGCAAAAGGAAAACCCAAGCGAGGTGATACATACGAATTGCAGGTGAGAGGTTTTTCGGCAGAGCAGATTGCCCGAAGGATCGCAGACAGAACGGACGTCAACATTAGAGTAATTAGACCCCCAAATTATGCTGGACCCCTTATGCTGGGATTACTTTTGGCTGTTATTGGTGGACTTGTGTATCTTCGAAGAAGCAATATGGAATTTCTCTTTAATAAAACTGGATGGGCTTTTGCAGCTTTGTGTTTTGTGCTTGCTATGACATCTGGTCAAATGTGGAACCATATAAGAGGACCACCATATGCTCATAAGAATCCCCACACAGGACATGTGAATTATATCCATGGAAGCAGCCAAGCCCAGTTTGTAGCTGAAACACACATTGTTCTTCTGTTCAATGGTGGGGTTACCTTAGGGATGGTGCTTTTATGTGAAGCTGCTACCTCGGACATGGATATCGGGAAGCGAAAGATAATGTGTGTGGCTGGCATTGGGCTTGTTGTATTATTTTTCAGTTGGATGCTTTCTATTTTCAGATCAAAATATCATGGCTATCCATACAGCTTTCTGATGAGTTAAAAACGATTGCAGAGATATGTAGACACTATAATGGAAATTGGAAAACGTGTGTTTGAAAAGAAGAATGCAACTTGTGTATTTTGTAATACCTCTTTTTTTCAAGTGATTTAAATAGTTACTCATTTAACCAAAGAAGATGTGTAGTGCCTTAACAAGCAACTTCTTGTCAAAAAAAAAAAAAAGAAACAAATGGTGCTTATCGAACCACCTTCCACTGTGGTTGATATCTCAACTGTGAAGCAAGTCTCAGTCCAATTAAAGAAATATCACATGGATATATTCATATAAACTTGAATTTATGGCAAGCATCTGGGAACTGATGGAGGCAAATGATTCAGAAATAAGAAGCTCTGATACAAGACAACTACCATATTTCTTCTAACAATTTTTGATTGCCATCTCTGCCTAGGTTCCTGTTAAATCTCTGCCTTTTCTGGGCTGAGATATGTGTGAAGCTCAAGCCATTAGGAAAAGAGATGCAGATGCTGGCATTTATTTGGGGTTGTGTTGGTCTTTTTTGGGGGAGTGTTTTTTTGTTTAGAAGCATTTCACCAGGAAGCCCAGGCTGGTCTGAAACTCTCCATCCTTCTGCCTCCATCTCTGGAGTCCTGGGAATACAGGTATGAGTCACCAGACTCCAGTCCAACAGTGGTTTTTATGAAAGAAGGTTGTTCATTCTAAAAATGTCAGGAATTACAGAGGCATAAGAGAAAATAAGAACGAAAGAAAAATATAGGGAAGTAAAATTTGTTCCATGTAACAGCGAAATTAATTTAAAACTAAAATAATTAAGTGAGTGCACTGTTGGCAAAGAAACATATGAACCAACTACAGAAATAGCACCAAGAAACAGACAGGAAGCAGATGCAAATTTTAGTATAAAACTTTAGTGTGCTCATTCATACTCTTGCTCATATTGATGGATAGACACCTCCCTTGCACTTCTCTCTCTCTCACTTTCTCTCTCTCTCTCTCTCTCACACACACACACACACATACTCTTCAGTGCCATAAATACAAAAGATTAAATTTTATTAAATACACTTTAAAAACATGGCTGAAAATACAAAGAAGTCTTTATGACCAAGGAACAAGAATAGATTTCTGAAGCAAATCACAAAAATTTCGAGTATGAAAGAAAAGATTCAATGTGAAATTAAGAATTTCTCCCCCTTATGAAAACTTTTGGAAATTGAGAGGTAAACTATAAATTGGAATATGTTACATGGAACTTTCAAAATAGTTGTGGTATAAATATTTATAAAAATTATGCTAAAGTATTTTTGTCCCCAATAAAACTTGGCTAATAGCATGCTTAGACATCTTTAAAAATAAGTTGATACAGTGCCCAGAAATAACAAGAGAAGTGATTACTGATCAGATTAATTGCAAGTCCAGGCCACAAACAATGCTACTTTCACCCCTTCACTGATGAAATGTGAGACTATCTGACAGTGCCTAGTTTTGTAGAAGATGTAGAATGCTGGAGTTTTTATATTCTTCAGTGGGAATGGTAATCAATATCATCACAGTGAAATATGATTTGTTATGTAATGAAGATGCAATTAACATATCTCAAATCAGTAATTACATACTATACCATGTGCCCAAGAGTGATTCTGCCACAAGCACATCAGGAAACATGTCAGAAACATGTCAGAAAAACATTGGAAGAAAGACACAAGGAACCAGGGCTCATTAATAGAAGAGTGGATGAAAATAACAATAGTATATTCAGTGAGTGGAATACTTTACAAGAACCCAAAGAAAGGGGTGAATAAAGAAAGGGGTAAATTTCACAATGTACTAACATGATAATGAAAATGTAAAGAAAGAATCCAAGTAAGTAAATTTCAATACTCACACACAGTGGTGCCTTTTTTTTTGAGACATGCTTTCCCTAAGTATCCCTAGCAGGCCTCCAATTCTCTCTTCCCATGCCTCAGCCTACAGAGTGGTGGAGCTACAAGTATGCAGTCAGACACTTGATCTACTAATAGAGGAAAAATATTATTCAAAAGACTAGATCACCAACATTAACAGCCTTGTCCACACTCAGGGGCAGCTGCCCATCCATTTCTGGCAGCTGGGGCCTTAAATAGGGGCAGGAGCCTTTGTTCCTCTTTGGAAGGATTCTTCTCACAAAATGTCTTTACTCAGGAATTAAAGATGCAATGACATTTATATTTGATGCTTTATTCTTCCTCCTGAAGTTTCTCAGTACAGTTCAACATTGTATACTGGTTACATTTTTCTTTCCTAAAAACACAGATTAATTTCATTGTGCATTCCTTTTGTGACCTTATATTTATTGAGTTCTACTTTGAAAATGTGTTTTTTCATTTGAGAATCCCTCAGAATTTTGGATAATGTCAACATTTTTCTATTTTATTTTTTCATACTTATTTATTTTGTGGTACTCATCACTAAACTCAGTACCTGGTACTCTACCCCTTGACTCACACCCTCAATTCTTTTTTTTTTTTTTTCAAATGGTATCTCATGCTTTTACTCTTTTGCCCTGGGCTGGCCTCTGACAGCTTCCCCTATCTCAGCCTCCTCAATAACTGGGCTACTAGTAGGAGCAGAAGGTCAGGGTTGTGTTTGAGGTAGACACTGGCCAACTGTGCCCAGGATGGTCTCCAATCACAGTTCTCCTATCTCCAATCTCCATTTGCAGAGTAGCTGTGGTTATTGGAATGGCCACCTTCTATTTTATGTCTTAGACTTATTCGTGCTATTTTTCAAACTCTTGATTTTCCAAATCCTTTCTTATTCTTATTCTTTATGCTTATCCTTGCATGTATGGTGTTCATTTTCATTTAATTGTATATGCCTTATGTTTCATAACTTCCTTTAACTCTTAAGTTAATTCATTTTAGTTCTATATTACATTGGATGGATGGGGATAGAACCTTTAGTATATTTTGGAGAGGGGATGTAATTTTTTTTCATTTCATAGCTTTCTTAGTTTTTTAAAAAAAACTTTTCATCCTAGCTTACTCTCAGAAAGTTTAATTTTTTAAAGTTTATTTATATATACATATATTTTGCAGTTCTGGGGTTTGATTCAGCGTCTCATACTTGTTAGGCAGGAGCATGCCTTTTGCCATTCCGTTAGCTCTTTATTTGTTGGGTTTTTTTGAGATAGGGTCACCTGAACTATTGCCATGGCCAGCTTGGAACAGATGTGATCCCTACCTCTTGCATAGCTAGGATTCCACCTCATAGTGAAATACTAAAAACCATCTGCTGGGATTGGGACAGAAAAATGATGTTTGCTATTAGGACTACAGTCAACATTTTAGTGGAAATTCTATCCCTGGTTTAAGGGAGAAAAGGGTATCAAAAGGATCAATATTCTGTACAAAGAAGTAAAAGCCTTTTACCTCCTTGCAGAAGACTCAGTTGTATACACTTTAAATGTAAAAGAATTTCCGAATGGAAAAAATAAGTGCTTTTTAGATTTTAAATGAACAGCCAGTGTCTAACTTGGGTTTGCCCACATGTATACATACACTGGGATGATTTCAACAATAGAGCATTATTTTGGAACAAAATTTAAAATAATTCCAGAATAGAAGAAGGAAGCCACAAATTAAATGGAGACAAGAAATAAATGGTGCTTATCTGATCATCTCTCATTGTGGTTGACATCTTAACTGGGGAACAAGTCTCCATACAGCTAAAAGGATAATATAGCTAAAAGATGACTGTCATATTTATTTGGTACTTTCTATCAGGTTTTAGTTGATGTTTCTTCATAAAGTCTTGTTAAACCTCTTCCTCTTCTGGTCTGAGGTGTGGGCAGCTGAAGCCATCAGGGAAAGAGAAGTTTTGGTTCTGTTTGTTTGCTTGTTTCTGAGATTCTCTCCAGATAGAGCAGTTTGGTTTGAAATGCTCCACTCTTCTGCCTCCATGTGTGGAATGCTTGATAGTATTGGTATGGGCTACACTCCCAAGATCTAATGACAGTTTTTATTGAAAGAATGTAGTTAATTCTACAAATATCATGGATACAGAGGTGTAAGCGAGAACATCGATAAAAAAGACATATGCTTCTAAATATTTTCAATGTGATGGAAAAATAATTTTAAAACTATGTAAGTGTGTGCATTGTTTGTACAAAATATGCAAACTGCAGTTGGAGGAAGGGCTCAAGCAGTACAGCTCCTGGCTTGCAAGCTCAAAGCCCTGAGTTGAAATCCCAGTACCCCCAACACTAAAGAAATACATAAACTGACTACAGAAATAACACCAGTAGAAAGACATGAAACAGATATGTAATTTTAGTACGAACCTTGGCATATTCATATACAGATTTGGTCATATTTTTGGATAGATGCCTCCCTTGCTTCTCTTTCTCTCATTGTCTCTAGCTCTCTCTCCCTCCCTCTTTATCTCCCTTTCTCTATATATATATATAAAACCATAAAAATGAAAACTTCATAGACAATATTTTTAAATCTGGGAAAAACTGGATGCTGGTGGCTAATGCTTGTAATCCTAACCAGGTGGGAGGCTGAGATCAGGAGTATGGGGATACAAGGCCAGCCCAGGCAATTGGTTCTGGAGACTCCATCTCCTAAATTAACCTGAGAAAAAAAGTCTGTTTGCAGCACTGCTTTGCAAGTTCCAAGGCATAAATACCATATCCAATTCCACCCCTCCCACACAAATATTCATGGCAGAAAATACAACCAAGTTATCTTGTCCCAGGAATAAGAATAGATTCTTTTCACAAGTAACAAACACTGAATATGAAAAAAAGATACATTATAAAATTAAGACTTTCTCTTCCTTGATGAAAATGTTAAGGAAATTGAGAAATCATTTACATATTGTAACATGTGACAAGAACCTTTGAAAATAAAGTATAAATGAACAAAATATTAACCCTGACTTAAAATCCTTGCTCTACAAAAAGCAAAAAAAAAAAAAAAAAAAAAAAGAGTGAGGATCAGTGTGCTGATATACCGTGCTTATCATGCCCTCAAAAAAAAAAAAAAGTATCTCGAGGGTCTGTCAGCCATGCCCATCAATATGACATCTTTTTATTTTAATTTTCTCCGCATGACATTTCTAAGGACAGGGTATTTGTGCAGATGTCCCAATGTGAGTAGTCTCATCAAAGGAGCTAGATTGGTCCACTGGCACA